CAATGGTGATAATGATTTTAGGGGGAAAAAAAAAAAAAAAAAAAAAATCAAAATCATATATATATATGTTTAAAAAAAAAAAAAAACTTAAAAGACAGGTAATGAAAGCACGATATTTTGCAATTTAACAATAAACTTTATTGTCCGAAATGACATCAGTTCACTGAAGAACAAATATATATATATATATATATATATACATATACATACTTGAATGAAAACAAAGGATTGTCTTCTGTAGTATTCATGTCAGCGCATATCAGAGAATATATGCTCCGATACTGATACATCTGTGATAGGCCAATATCGGCTGATAAAATCGTGCGGGCTCTAGTTTTTACTGGATTACTCAGAGTAATGGGACATTTTATAATTTAGTTCTTCAAATGTTGTGAGGTCTAGTTTAAACTGCATTTCCCTGATCTGGGCAGCGTTGTTAGTATCAGCAGTGGATCAGCAAATAAAAAGTGGAGTCCTTCGCTACAAGGGGTGAGTGGGTTTTTGTTATTTTAAATAACTGACCTTTTAATTGATTGTTAAAAGGCCCACTGATTAGTTTTGCATTTATTGACTTAATCAGCTAATACTGTCAACTAATTTATTTTTAAAAAAAAAAACAAAAAAAAAACACAGTGAGCATTAAAGTATAGTATGCCTCATAGTAAACCATGGATAAAATGAACAACTTGGTGTTCCCTGACCAGTAAATCTTGTCTTGTAAAAAAAGGATTTTTTTTTAAATATGACTCAAATTGGCTCTATCATTATACACCATAATGTGTATAATCTAATACATTTAACACAAAAATAATATATCAGAAAATAGCATATCATTAACAGTGGCCATTTTACTGCAGAATGAATACTTTAAAAAAAAATTTTTTATTAGCATCAAACTATACTTAACCTACCATAAGTAAAAGGTGCTGATGCAGAGCATCAATATTTTCCAAATATTGTATATTATTTGGTTATCATTGCTGACACATTCATGTACATTAAGCCTACTTTATTGTTACAGATGGTGTAACAGTGTGGAGCTAATTTTAACTCCTTTTAAAACTTAATTTAATCTATATTACAAAATAATTTTTTGACTATATGTTGTGGGGCTGCAACTAACAATTATTTTCATTATCAGTTAATCAACAGAAGTATTTTGTCTGAGCAATGTTACAAATTAGTGAAAATGCCGTTTGGCCAATTGGCTAAAGCCTTAAGATGATCAGTGATACAAAACTGAAAAAAGCAGCAAGGCCTCACATTTGAGAAACTGAAAGTACTGAATATTTGGCAATTTTGCTTGAAAAATTATATTTATTCAATTTTATATATATATATATATATATATATATATATATCAAAGTACATGATTCTCTGGCTATCAACTACTACTTGTAGCTCTTATATTTTGTATTAATAATTTCAAAAGCAACTATTAACTACAACCGTCAGATGAATGTAGTGTAATACGATAGAATAAAATTAGTACAGTAATTCCTGCACATGTAGCGGAGGGCAAGTATAAAGTAGTACAACACGGAATTACTCAAGTACAGTACGAGTACTTCAAACTGTAGTTAAGTACAGTACATGAGTAATTCTACTTACTTTCCACCTCTGTTATGGTATACAATCCTGTAGTACAACGGGGTAAACTTTTAAAACGTGGGTATGTGCTCCTTTATGTGTTAATCTGTGTTGATTATACGTTGATGAGGTTCATCTGTTTGCCAATAATAGATATCACACAGTCGATCAATCAATCCTCGCTTCAGAGTCACTTGTTCACCTATTTTAACAACGTTTACTTTGTCTGGTGCCGTTTTTAATCAACATTGCACATTCATAGTGCATCAATGTAAAAAGGTATATGCTGTTAAATCGATACAAACTAGTTAAACTCGTGTTAGTTGGTTAACTCGGGAGGCGCGAGTGTCTGAAAACAGGAAACAAAGGGCACGATAAGATGGACGTCAGGCCTGAACAAACTTAAAACAGAAATACAGGTAAATCCAACCATCCCTGTGCAAATACAAGAAAATATCAGCCGAAAATCACCAAAACACTCGGCTGAAACAGGGAGTTACAGTTTATAGACGGATTTAGTGCATTTTGGATAACGATAGAGGGAGACAAACACCCCCCGCCAGCCGCCTGGCCGGTAAGCCCTACCGTGACACCTAGAGGCCGGCGACGGCTCCTACAAAAACGTTTCCGTGTTTGGAGGCAAAGAAGCGGCTTTACTTACTCCCGACAGCTTCTTCTCCCGGTTATAGTCGCTTGGAAACCCAGCGCCTTCGGTTGGTCTCTTGAGTACTGCTGTGGTCGGCCGTAGGTGCTCTGCGCCGGGCTAATAATTTTCTCCCGCTTTACAAGAGTGGGCCTAACACAAAATGGCGGCTCCTAAGAGTTAATACGGCTGCGCGAACCCAGCGCCAGTGGAGTGAAAGGGAGTGGAGGAACTGGGGCTGTGGGTGATGGGCGCCAGATTTGAATGTGAGAGGGGGCGTGGAAACATGACGAGTGTGATCGATGCAATTGACAGGTTAGGTATTAGTTTACAGATGAGAGGAACAGCTAATATTTGCTCGAACGTGACGCATACACCTCCAACAACTCAGAGTCACTGTTAACTCAAGTTACAAGTTACATTTTGTGTAGAAAAGCAATTCACAAAACTATCCACAGGGAGGCAGTATGAATGTTGTAGGTGCAGGGTGGGCCTCAAGTCACAAACACACACACAAACATTGATGAAAAGTAAATATATTCAAGTTCTGAGTACTGAGGACTTTATACTTGTACTCCACTACATCTCAGAAGGAAATATTACGCCACTACATTTACACTCAGTTGTTATTTTATTAGGTAGCTAAAAGTAATGCTGTTCAATGCAACAGTCTTGCTATAAATCCTACCTTCATGAGGGCTTTGATATTCAGTTTTTGTTGAAACTGTGTCAGAGAGGTGTTGATTCAACTGTATGATGTAGATTGTTGTGCTGTTTTCTTTGTGCTGTATGGCATTATAAAGAGGAAAGTTTCTGTTCTGTTCTACAACAAAAACAAAATTCATAGGGATACATGAGCATATTAACAAGCATGGACAAGATCTAATTAATGTGAAAGACACATTCAAAACCCGTGTCACTCGTCCATCTTGACAGAATTGATCTTTTTAAAATGATTAATTATTCATTTATTCTTTTATTTTTTTTACTACTAGGTTACAGTGAAGGCTACATCTATACCCAAGCACTAAAATAGCTGATTTCATATATCTCTGCATGGAAAACCTGACATTTGTTTTTATAAATGGAGAACAAGTTATTTCTGTGTTGATATGGTGGGTTGAGAGGTAACCGTTTGGTCGGTTTGGCCACTTAATAAAACTATTACAGTGACAAATCCTTTCAAAGCATTTTTCAATCTGCCAATAGAGCCAATATAAATGGTATGTTTATATCAAAGTGTTTCTGACCAGGGAAAGGTGTTGCCTTGTTTTTATATAGTCACACTAGGCAAAACTATTCTCATTAAACCTGCGACACATGCCCCCAGGGGAATTTGTAGTATAATTAAGATACATAGAAGCTGGTGTTTGTGGGGGTGTGCCTGTGTTTTATTTTATGACTTTGATTCATCATCAAGGTCTATCGGAACCCTCTCAGATATAGGACAGTTTCCTTTAGTACTGCTGAAACACCTCGCTATTAAATTTACTGAGAGACTCAATGTATGTATACACATTTTTAAAAATAAAAGAATCTACCAGGTCAGCCTGTCACTTACAGCATTTCAGAGCATCTTTTCCGCATATAAAATAAATTATTAATTTGTTACATAACCAATAGAACATTTTGTTCATTTCAGCTATTTTCACTTCAGTAAATTCATATATATGTACTGGGATGTACTAGGATGCATGGCTGAAACAAATGTCAGTGTGGTCACTTTGCTCCTCTCTTTCTGCCTCTTATTTTATCACCATCTTTTTCTCATGGTTTTCCTCTCGGAGAGGAGGGGGCAGAGAAAGGCGAGGTTCTGTTGTCAGATCTGTCAGTCTAGCCGGGCCTAGCCCCTCCCACCTCAGTGGAGGCATTACATACTGCTGTGCTCGTGCTCTTAGCAACGGTGCCTCAGCAACAGAGCCACGGCAACAGAGCTCCACGGCAACAGCGTGCCGTGTCTCCCCAATGGAGCTGCCATTGGGCGGACCAGCGCTCAGGCACTACACCCAGAGCAGACCGAGACCTCACCGACAAAAACTGAACTATCGTCCCAGCAGACCGCAGGTACTGTGAAGGAGGATCAGAGAGGTTTTTGCAAAAATGCAGTCTGAGAGGAAAAGGTGTTGGAAGGGAGGGAGAGAGGAGAGATGTAATAGGGTACAGAGGGGAGAGGCAGAGGGAAGGGAAGGATGGAGGGGGAGTGCTGTAAAAGATGCCTGGTCCCTGCTTGAATAAGGCAGTCCTATTGTACCGGTCACAGGCTGTTTGAAGAACCCACACTTGGTATATTATGTGTGAAAGAGAATGACGACTATATAGGAGAGCGGGTGGTAGTTTGGTCTGAATGTCTTTTCTTGATCTCACTGAAAAAAAGCTAGTGCTGTTTTATTTTTTCATAGGCTTGTATCAAAATGTAGAGTGTGTGTGATCATCTCCATTTTCCACTGAGCTGATCTTGTTGTCACAGAGCTATTAGGCTGTGGACATATAGTCACTCCCTTGGAGACAAATGGCCAGGGAGACAAAATTCAAGCAATTCCCCTGACAGGATATCATGTAACGGTGACTTCTGCTAAATTTGTTTTCTGCAGTCTGGCTTTTATTGCTACTTGTGGGCACAGATGTTAATATGATCAGGATGATGCAACACTGTATAGCTGCAATTTTGATATCACATTACCTACATTGGCAAAATGAATTATCTTGGTTCCATTCCGCATGCAAAAGCCAGTGACGCCCCCCCATTGTACGTTACTGAGCAACTGACTCCCAGGAGGGTGGTTTGTAGCATGACTGGATGAGAGATTCAAACCAAAATACACCTATAGAGGCAGAAGAAACACTAGTGCCAGAGCGTGTGGGTTTTTCAGATATGAGCGTTATGTAATGTAAAGTTACATATAACGCAAGTTGCTCTACAACAATTTGTCTGATCTGATCTGATTGTTTTCTGCATCTGTGTGTGGCAATTAGGAGACAATAATTGAGAGTGAAAATGAAGTCCTTGAGCTCATGGGGCGAGTGGATGAAGGAGTTGAAGAGTTCTTTACTAAAAGAGTACTTCCTACTGATACACTGTGAGTATCACTGCTGCCAAATTAGATTCTCTTTATTGTTCCTTGATATTTAGCCAATCTATATTCTAACAATACTGCTTTAACGGTATTGTACTGTACAACTGAACCTGCCTAGATTTTACATATATGATCCTTTATATAGGAAAAAGCAAGATGAGGAATCTATCACGGTGCACGAAGTGGCTCCTGCCAGCTCAGTCCCTTGTCCACCCCCAACAAAAACTCTCAGGAGGAAGCTTGGTGATTTCTTCACACTCAAAAAGAGACGAGGTTTGAAATCAGAGACAAGCCACGAGGGGCGTCCCAAAAAGGCCTCCATCGCTGATCTCATTCGCCCGCTCAGGGAGGTCGCCAGAGCTGAGAAAGAAAAAGATAAGGACAGAGTCAAGGAACACGACAAGGAAAATGAAAAGGAGAAAGCAAAAGAACCTCCCAGTGCTGTTGCTGGAGAGTCAGCTGGTCAGGAGACACCTGTTTCTGGTGCTCCAGCGCTGAGGGGTGAAGCGGTGCCTCCCCGCCGAGCTCTCAGAGAGGGGAAGTCCCAGTCTCTCATTTTGCTGTCTGGATCAGCAGCAGCAGGGACTACTAATGCCAGAAACACTGCAAAGGTGAGTTAGTAGAGTAAAGTTATATATACATTTAGATCAGTACATAAGTTTTGAAAAGCATTATTCATTACTCTGGTGTTGCTGATTTCAGAAACAATTTGAAGGCCAACATAGCTTTGAACAAAAACTCCATCTCATGCTTCAACGTATTGGAGTTTCCAAACAACCGTCAGGAGAGACACAGGTGTGTGAATATGTGTGTCTCAGTTTAGATATGTATACTGTTGGAGTCACTGGAAGTGTTAAAATACCTCTTTTATTCTTGTAGAATCAGGAGGGAGAGATGAAAAAAGCAGAATCGGAAGGTATGTCCCGTTATCTATTTAATGTGATTAAACTCTTCTCTGCTCCAGCTCAGTGTTAATGAAGCAAAATTAATCTTTGAATTTTAGGGGTTTGAGAGACTTTTTGACATGGATCAGTTCTCCCTTAAAACGATTTAATATGTCAGACACTGGGCTGATAAGACACGCAGGAGTATTTGACTAGTCTACACTATCTAGTGCAGAGACATAATAGCTACTTAATTCTACTGGTAAAATACGATGTAAATGATCTTTGTGTCTCAGGTACTATCATTGACAGTAAACCTGAGCCACCTCCTACTTTCTCCAAACCTCGAACGATGTCAGCTTCATCAGGTATAACACAAAACAGTCATCAGTTCTCTTATAGGTACAGTATATGATAAGATCAATCATTTCCACATTGATTTTTCTCATTTTTTTCTTTAGATACAAGGCATCAAATTCGACCAAGTGTGTCCGCACACGAGTCAGCTGGGAAACCTGCTTTGCTACCAAAGCCAGTTATCAAACCAGGTCCACCCCCCACAACATCTGGCCGCAACACACCTGAGAATGAGCTAGCCCAAATACAGGAAGGGGAGACAAACACGCCCACTAAACTCAATCGAACTGCAGCTCCGTCTGCTCCCGCTGCTCCTGCCCTCACTGCTACCAGTGCTCATACTGTACCAACAATCTCAAACTCAATCCCTGACTCAACCAGTTTTACAATTTCTCCTTCAAGTACTGTAACTCCCTCTGATACAGATATATGCACTGACTCTGTTAAACCTACTGCAGCAGCTACAACACCCACAAATGTTACAGAGCTTGACAGCAAAGCCTCTGTCCCTGAGGCTAGTGCAACTACCACTGAACTACCCACCTATACCTTCCCGACAACACTTACAAGCGCCACTACACCCACAGAGCCCCCCGCCACTGTCTCAGTTACTTCCACTTCCTCAGAGTCCAATACTCTGAGCCTTACTGTCACTTCCAACTCGACAACAATAGCTACGCCTTCCATTAACACCTCAGAAACTGTTTCTGCTCCCAGCAATGAAAGCTCAGTTTCCACAACATCAACAAATCTGTCAACGAAATTGACTTTGCCAGAACCAGATGGTATACTCTCAGTTGATGTCACTCCTGCTGCTGGTGGTGATGCAGCTATTTCTCTCATCACCACAGCTTCTTCACCCTCCACCAGCATATCAAATATGTCATCAGGCTTGTGCACCACCACCGACTCAGTTACTGCAGCTAGTGATGATTCCACTTCAGTCACCTCCTCTAGCTGTGTAACGTTAGTTTCATCAGTCACTGACTCTACATCTCCACCATCTAACTCAAGTGATACCATTACTGCTACAGTTTCACCTGACGCCCCCATTACCACTTCTTCCACTCTGATCTCCGCTGCCTTTCCTCCCACCAACTCCACCTCCTTGTCCACCACCACCACCACCACCACCACCACTACAAGCCCAACAACCACCGACTGCATGACCTCTGTCTCTGCTTCCACCATTACTCATCCAGCCATCACTAGCCCCGCTGATATCTCTGTTCCCTCTACTTCTTCTAGTGAAACAACCCCTACAGGCACCACTTCCACTGCCACCAGTTTAAATTGTGCAGATACCACTTCCACCACCAGTTCAGCAACCACAGCTACAGTTAGCTCCACACTCTCGATTGATTCAGACCCACCTTACACTAACAATGTCAGCACTACCCTCACAACCCCAACTATCTCTGGCCTCCCTGCTACTGATAACTCAAATGCTACTTCTCACCATTTGACCAGTCCAGCACACTCCAATGATAGTCCAGGCCAAGATAATAATTTACAGACACCTCCTGAAGAAAGATCCAGTACAGAGCCAGCAGAAAAGGGCACAGGTAAGTTTTAAATTCTGACATATGCATGCATTCATGTATTTCTCTGCCTCAACATGTATGTAGATGTATGTTGAATGGCATGTTTTGTGATTTGTCCCATCCGACAGCTGATGAGGAGCTTGGTATGGTCCAAAAGAGCAAGCAAACTGAGATGGGTGAAAACAAGGTAATTGTCAATGGTGGGAAGAAGGGCGAGAATGAAAAACCAACGCTGGTCACCAGTGAAGAAACAAGAAAAGAAGCTGAAGCTGAAGAAGACACAATGGCTGAACCTCCATCAGGGAAAGAGGGTGAGCGGTGCAGCAATGAGGGTGTGGTAGAGGGTCAAAAACAAGAAGAAACTAAGTCAGTGTGCAAGAAGTAATTAAAAAAAATAAAGAAATTGCTAAATATGGGACCAACTACTGTGACAGGGGCAGGAGAGGCCACAGTAAAGGGTAAAGTGGGGGACGATCCATGGCACTTCCTACAGGGACCACCACATTACAGCAGCACACCACAAAGGGTGGGCCACTGGACCAAAGAACTGAGATCCCCTTGGTGTGATGTAATCAACAAATCCAGCAGTGTCTTTGTCCTTTTTTAACTTATGTTTGACTTTTTTGCATTGCACGTATGATTATGTACCATAAGACATCTACTGTGGTAAATTACACCATGTTTACAATAGATGGATAAGAGACATAGATATGACTATTAAATGGAATATTGAATTGAACTGAGTCATTCCCTCTTCCTTTTTATGCAGGATTATGTGATTTCTAGCAACTTAATGTATTTTGACTAGAAAATCTAAACGTCTAGCATTTTCTGGAGCTCATTGTCTTCCCCGGTTGTCATGGAGATAACTCAGTTGTTATCATAGCTGGTCTTATATTGTTATCTCTGTTCAAGATGGTGTCAGATTTGACTAGTCAAATGAGCAAACTCCATCCACTGAGAAAGACTGTGAGATTCTGTCGAAAGCTCTGGAAAATGCTAGTAAGCTGACCATGACATAAGATTTATTTGTGAAGCCACTGTTTCTATGATGAAGTTCATCACTAGGATTTATTTTTGAAGGCATCTAGGTTAAAAGTGTGTGAACTCAAGTTAGATCAGATCAGGTCAGATCTTATGTGCACAGCATTATATTTTTATCCAAGACAAATATTCATTACTATCTAATCTGCCATTGGAAATATTTAATTTGCATGTACCAACAAACTCAAATACTTCAAAAAAGTTAGTGCTCAAACCCTGCAGTACAGGATGTAATGAAGGTGTTCCTCCTCTCACAAGCTGGAGAGAATATTTTGGGCCTCATTCACAAAAATTCAGCTAAATGGTCGAGCAAAATGTCTATTGAAAGTTAGATCGGTATTCATAACAATGCACTACCTCTTGAGACTAAATGCTGATTTTTAATACATAAGATATTCAAGCCTGTTGATGCTGATAAGCAGACAACATAATCTAATGAAGGGTCTGCAGGAAGAGAGGTTTCTGAACGTTCTGATGCAAACTATGAAAAGGAACACTTTAACTTTTTATCGTTATTACTCCACCCTTTTGACTACTACTTCTAAAACCTGTTTTCTACCATCTTGAAGGAATAATAATAGGGGTATCTTTTTTTATTTCAATAGGAGGTTATTTCTATTTCATGACACCACGAAGAATAATTTTCGCTTATGTTCCTCCATGGCAAAAGTATCACTAATACCAACAGAAACCTCATCACCAATAAAATAAAAGGGGGGTCCTTTAAACTAGTACACAATTTCTACCCTATAAAACACCTCATCTTGCGTGCCTCATCTATTTATCACTATACTAAAAGGCTGTGGCAAGAGGTTTATCAAGTCTATCAATTATGCATTAATGCCAGATTTTGCATTAAGAATATACATTGTTTGGGTTTTTAAATTACAATAGAAAAGAAAAATAAAAACATGTACTTCATCAAGTTTCAAAGTGGCCATCATTTAGAGACATTATATCTTGTAGCAATAAGAACACTGTAAATAACTTTATTTTTTAAATTTCTTTACTTAACTTTATTCAGTTGTGTTATTTATTTATTATTTCTATTTTATTGTTATTTTCTGTGCTGTTTCCTCTACTCGGAATCTTGTTGAGATTTGCTTGGTTGTTCATCATCCGGACCAGCAGGTGTCGCTGGCGGGTATATGTCCGGGCAAACCGCACTTCACCCGGAAGAGGAGAACCGAGGGAAACGACGGTAGAGAAATTGTTGTGGACAGTCCGCTGAGATCTTGGGGGATTCGTTTGCTCTTTCGATAATCCAGTGAGTTATAAACCACCCTCCGCCCGACGCACATTCGCAAGAGGGTTTAGTCTCGTTGTGCTCACGTTAGAGATGTCGGTGGTGCCTCCTAGTCGCTCGTCCACCGGCTGGCCGCGCGGTGGTGCCGTTCAGTTCGGGAACAAATACATCAGCGGGCCTGCGAAACCGCTCACACTGGAGAGGACCATCAACCTGTGAGTTCATGTGGAGCAGCAAATGATGCACCACAAGCTGCTATCAGTATCTACATGTGCCCGGTAGTTAACGTGCGCCGTCGACCGACTGCAGAGGATACGAAAACATGTCCAATTAGCTCAATTAGCTAATTGTTTTTGTTTGAAAATAGTGAAAAATATCCAACTTTACACGCTGAAGCCGATAGTAAATTATTCAGTATATTTTTTGGTCTGCCCACTAGTCAAAACCCTAAAGATGTTGAGTTTACTATCATCAGTTTGGCATTTTTGCTTAAACGTGTCCAAGAATTAATCAGCTATCAGAATTGCTGCCAATTACTTTCCTGTCAGTCATCTGTGTGATTAATCAACAAATAATTTCAGCTCTGCAGTACTGGTTTACTGACCAGAGAACTTTAAGAATAAAATCAACAATTATTTTCGACTTCAGTACCCCTCACACTTATTTTCTGTATAAAATGTTGGAGACTAGTGAAAAACAACATATTCTTATTGCCTTTGTTCGTCTGACCAATAGTCATCATAGAAAACTGAGAAAGTAGCAAATATTCACATTTAAAAAGGTGGTGTCCATGAACTTTTGTCCTTTTTGCCTAAAAGTGCCTCAAAGGATCAATCAGTTATCAGAACTGTTGCCAATTAATTTTCTGTTAATCACCAATTTTATTAATTAAAATTAATTAGTTCATTTCTATTTGCCATTTCCTGACATATTAGTTTTTAAAAACAATCAGTTAAATTTAAAAAAAAAAAAAACATTAGATGGTGTAATCAGTAATGAGAGTAATTTTCCTTTGCAGTTCTAGATTAAAATTATTTTTATTATTGTACTTTATATTAAAGCTTTACTTTTAATAGCATGTAGGTATGAATCACATTAACACAATGATCTCTGGTTATGCCTAATGTCTTTTCCGGTGTGTATTTCCATTTCAGATACCCTCTGACCAACTACACATTCGGCACCAAGGAGCCTTTGTACGAGAAGGACAGTTCAGTGGCAGCCCGGTTCCAGCGGATGCGGGAGGAGTTTGATAAAATGGGAATGCGGAGGACTGTGGAAGGTGTCCTCATTGTCCATGAACACAGGCTGCCTCATGTGTTACTCCTGCAGCTGGGTACCACTTTCTTTAAACTGTGAGTAGCTGATGTTCAGAGGCACCTGTTTGAACCAGCACAAATGGTTTCTACTGAACAGTCGTCTGACAGTTTGCTTCTCTCCTGCAGGCCCGGTGGAGAGCTGAGTCCCGGAGAAGATGAGGTGGAGGGTCTGAAACGCCTGATGACAGAGGTAGCTATGTCACTGCACAGTGGAGGCCTCTGGTTGCTGTGGTGATTGAGGAGTTTATGTTTATTAACTTATGTTTGAATGTTAGATCCTCGGGCGGCAGGATGGGGTGAAGCAGGACTGGGTGATTGACGACTGTATCGGCAACTGGTGGCGCCCCAACTTTGAGCCTCCACAGGTTAGTAAACGTTTTCAGGATTTAATTAATGGAAGGAACAATTTTAACAGAAATTGATATTGCACTCATTTTAATTGAAAGCAGTGTGGCATTAACAGATTAGTCTGAAATGTTTTTAACAGCGTCTGGTCAGATTGTGTTTTTCACTGGGGTTTGAAATGTGTCCACTAACTATCGTCATGGTCACACTTACTTTCACTTTCATTGCTAAACTAGGAATATTACTAATGTGAGGTAAATGACAAATTCTTAAAGACAATGGAAAAATTTGGGTGGTGTGTCTGTGTCTAAAATTATTCACTTCTCGTCAGTGTACTGTACTGTAGAAGTCAGTGCAACCCATCACTTGTTGACTACATATAACAGATGGTTTCGATTTTCTGCTTCATAAAGCCAGAAGGAAATGTGAAGATGCACTCTGAAGATCAGGCTGAATTCTCTGTAGACAGTTAGTCTTGAACGTTCAGATACAGTTTACATCTGTGCATACTAATGTGAACTGATCTCAGCTTGTTTGTCTTGCAGTACCCCTATATTCCAGCTCACATCACCAAGCCTAAGGAGCATAAGAAGCTGTTCCTGGTCCAGCTGCAGGAAAAAGGTCAGTATATCACAATGTAACTCATGAAATGAATAAATTAATGGTGGACATGGGTATGAATAGAAGGAGGAGGCACATGAATAAATTCCAAAGTATCATTGCTTCTTATTTTGAAGTCTGTGATTCATGTTTCTACAGCGCTGTTTGCTGTCCCCAAGAACTATAAACTGGTGGCTGCACCACTGTTTGAACTGTATGACAACGCTCCTGGATATGGGCCAATCATCTCCAGTCTACCACAGCTATTGAGCAGGTATTGTTTGTGTCTTTTGCAAGAGTTTGGTCATTGTGTAAATAGCCAGAACTGAAAATATGTATTCTCATTTGTAATTCACATGTAAACTCTTGTATTCTGTTCGCTGTCACAGTGGCTAAATTAAAACAGTGAAAGTACTCGGCCATTGGCAGCAGGTTGGCACAGAGACTACTGATCTGACTTTAAGAGCTGTGTTAGTTATCCATCCTACTGAAGTCCCAGAACTCAGCACCAAGGGTGTTTTTTAGATTCAGTAACTGAACCCACAGCACAGACTTTTTACACAGGGCAGAAAGCAAAAGAATATGTATACACACAGTATTTGCAGATAAAGATTGGGCTTAAATAAAAGTGAAAAGATTCTGTTGAAATGATATATGAAATATACCGGCAGCACATAACAGTGTGCAGGATTTTGTCGCTTTTTTTCAAGTTGTCCTCTGATGCACCTGTCATAAATTCAGGTGGGCAAATGTATTTTTTTCATTGTTTTGCATTTAAATTTGCTAAAAGGGGAAAGGTATGCTGTAACAAAATAAAAGTAATTTGACTAAACTCATGCAGGAAATTTTTATTATGCTCCCACACTGTTGAACATCCAAATGTGATATCTCAGTAACGCCTTGAGGGAATTTCTTCAAATTTAGTACAAACAGTCACTTGGACTCAAGGATGAACTGATTAGAATTTGGTGGTCAAAGGTCACTGTGACCTCACAAAACACGTTCTTGGCCGTAACTCACAAATTCATAAGCTAATTGTAACACAATTTAACACAAATGTCTAATAGGATAAAATGATGAAGTGATGGCATTTTATATCCAAATGGTCAAAGGTCAACTTCACTGTGACATAATGTTCTGCAAAAACACTTCTGACCATTATTTAATGCTGTAATTCAGGAAGGGGAAGTTTCCTGCAACTTGGCTGGTTGGTGGAGGCCAACAACAGCAAGGCTGTAATTCTAATTAAAGTTAGACTTTTTTTTTTTTTTTTCAAATAATGACCATAAATTCTGTTTATAGGTTCAACTTCATCTACAACTAATCTGCGTGAACAGGAGTCCCATCTGGCTGTCTCTGTGAGTGCAGCCCTGTCTGAGTGAAGCCTGAAGATGAGAAACAGTGTGGTGAAAAGGACTCATTTCTGGCTGAACTTTCACAAAAGAAAAGCTTGTCATGTCAGGAATATTGACAGTACACAGGGGGGGTTTATACTGTTGTTAGAAGAAAATGAAAATGTTATGTGTCCTTTTTTTTTTTTTTTTTTTTTTAATCCGGAGAAACTGCTAGTTTTTGTAGTATGCGAGTCTTTATTCCAGTGTGTTCAGAATCTGATTTTATGTCGTCTCAGAGGAGACCAGTGTTTGATTAAACAAACTACAACATTGAGTTTCCTGTTGTTTTAACCTGTAATAATGCTGTGTGTGGGTGTTTTGGGGTTTTTTTTTTTTTTTTTTTTAATAAAGTGGTCCGTTGAGTGTGTTTTTATGAAGTTCAAAGAGTGGCTGACTGATACTGAGTTTCAAAGTAAAATTATAAATACCCCTTTGGGTAGTGATTTTTTTTAGTTTACCTATCAATTGAAATTTTAGATGAAGGCACTATAATATTAGATTGTTCAACACAATAAAAAATGCACACCAGAAAAAAGGCAGGTACTTGCACACAGAGATCTTGGTGACCAAAAGTTCACTGTATAGTCAAGTGAATGTGAAAACTAAAATGTTTTAATGTGAATCGCTACCAAAACTCATGAGGCTATTTTTCTACGAGGAATGAAAAAGCATTTAGTACAATCACATGACCTGGGGGCAAATACCTCTCTGTGGCCCCTGTAGCACAATGGTCATGTTTCATATGTAGGTTAATAAAATTGACTGTTTGCTCACTTTATGATTGTAGCCTGCATGATATAATATCCATCCATCCTTTCTGTAAACCGCTTATCCTGCTCAGGGTTGTGGGGTGCTGGAGTCGATGGACTCTGACATGATGGTATTTGCTGATGAATAAAACTCTAAGCATCTTAAGTGCCTAAAACTTCTGCATTGTACTGTATTGCACTGAAACCTGTTACTTGTGCTAGGACTCATCTGGGACAAGTCTTGTCCACCAGTGTGTCTCAAGCCCACATTTTGGTTATGTCTATCAAAGTGAAAGCAGGATTTGATATACTGAACTACAGTAAGTGCTGTCTGTGGGTCGTTTTTTTCTTTACTGTAACTACATATTTACAATGCTAATAACTGTCCGTCTCTCCCTCTGTACCGGGCATGGTTCAGACAGACAAGTGCAATGTAATATACGAATAAACCAACAATGAACAAAAAGAGGTTAGCTGAAACCATATATATACCCTTCATTTCATTCTTGAATGCATCTGAACAAGGTTGCACTCCACATCGTATTTGCATTTCTGAATTAAGAACTTGGCTAAAATAATTTCCTTGCTTTCGAGAAATTCAACAATAATAAGCACATAAAGAAGTTCAGTGAAGTTGAGGAAAAGTTTTATGGTTTTCTGTCCTTCAAACACTGAATCGATTTAAATAGATTTTGTCCATTCTTCTATCTGTTCCTTTGGGATTTAACCTTTAAATGTTTACATGTTTACCTAACAAATCAAATTATTTACCAGTAAATCGCAGTTTTCTACTTCATACGTACTCCAGCTTTAACAGACATTTAAATTCGAGATAAAATATCATTTTTGTCTGTTTTCCACGCTGCTGCCTGACAGTTTGTACTCAGGGCGTGTATGAGTTTTAAAAACGTCATCTACCCGCGACGCCCGGGCCGTTTCACACGTACACACGTTGCCAGTGTTAATGTTGTCAAAGCTCTTTTTAAACTGTGTGTTTCCTCGGGTTTTCACCGGGTAGCTTCCTCAATGGCCTCCAAACGACGACAGGACGAGGTCGGCAAAAGTGACAAGAAGAAAAAACAGAAGAAGAGCGAAGAAACAGCAGAACTTGGTTCAGCTGTGGAGGACGACCAGGTGAAGAGTGCGGTGAAGGAGGCGTGGAGCCGGAGGACCCACTGCAGCCTGGGTGAGGATGTAAACAAGTAGGCTAAAGAAACCCCCCCCCCCCCCCATAAATCTTAAATCTTACACATAACCCAGCTGGAAAAACAACGTCTGGTCAGCGCTTTCTTTTGTGTTTTTGTTGTCTTGTTGTTTTTTCCTGACATATCTCTCTAGTTTTAGTTTTTCTCTAGTCTCAAGTTTTTCTCTCTCTTAGTGATAGCTGCCCAGTTTTCTTCTAGTATTCTGGGTTGAGAGTTGACCATGTATTTTTCATAAAGTTTAGATTTTGTAGCTGCCTCGAGACTGTTTGGCTGGTTTGCCTGACTGAAACCAGCTGATCTTATCACAGTTATATCAACAACGGTGTACATGTTGGCTGATAAATAATTTCAGGTATGCTTGAAGTAATTTAGAAGCAGTGTTGACATAAAATCGTTTTGACAGGAGAGAGCACTGAGGGGTTTTTTTTTTTGCTGGAAAATGTCTCGCTCAGTGTGAATCTTTGTCACAATTCTCTAGTAGACAAAAACTAAAGAATTATTGTGTAAAAAATGAATACTGGCTGATATACCATACCTGATACATCTCAAAGATTTTTGTCAAGCCACACTTATATGTGAAATAGCTCAGTCGGACACATTTCCTGTTGTTATTTTTATGCAGGGGATCTGGAGTTGGACTGTCACCCTTTCCCTCACTGCATCATCAAGAACTTCCTTGGCAGCGAGACCTTCGTAGAGAACCTGCAGAGAGAACTTCTGGAGCTCAACTTCCATGAGAAGTCAAACGATCTCTACAAATTTAAACAGGTAACGATCAAACTGGTCCTCTGAGGGATTTATTCCAGTGTGTTTGTGTTGTTATTTGATGATGCCTTTACTTTGTTGTTGTTCCAATCCAGTCAGATGACTTGAGGAAGAGAACAGAGCCACACATCGCAGGACTGAGGTGAGACATAGCTCGTGTTCTCGTGTCTGTGCACTCGATACGACAGACCCAATGTGAGTTGGTGTGAGATTTTTCTTCTTGTGGTAAAGTTATTCAGTGGATAGATGTTTAGAAAAGGTGAAGTGTGGATAATAGTTGGTGTTTATATGATTTGAGCTGCTGTTTCAGGATGAACTACAAGTGGAATAAAACTGGTAGCTCATTTTGTCAGGTAGAACATTATCTATAAAAAAACTTGATGAAAAGAGATACTTTGTTTTTATGCACTTTTATTTAGCTTGTCTATTCTGATAGACATGTCACTTTACATTCATTTGGTAGACTCTTTCACTTTTCTCACTCATTTGGAGCAGGTTGGTGTCAAGAGCTGTGACTAAACCACCAACCCAATAATTAACAGCTAATTAATCTCAAGTGCTCTATTCCCTGATCTGCAGTTCCTCATGATTCCTACCACACACAAACATAACATAATTTAAAGCACATTTATTCCACTGGTAATCTGTTGTAGTCAGTATTTCCTATCTGACAGAATGACCTCCTTTTCTTCACAGCCAGGCCATGTTGTAGGCCTTTCTCACAGCAGACATTTTGCATTTTATTTCACTGAGCCAGTTCCAGGACTCTGGTACTGGTCATGCTCGCTCACTGTGGTGGCTTATGGAGACATTTACTGGAATGGAGCCATTGCTAATGTTATTAATTACACTTGCGGTTTTCCTTCTTTGAAAAGTCACAATGTCTGCTGTGAAAATGTAGGTCATTTTGAATTTGTTCCTTTTTTAACCACACGGCAGAATCAAATTCCTCATTCTTCAGCACAACTTGATACTTCATTTTGATAGACATTGCACTCTTTATTAGGTTCACATGTACAATATAATGCAATTCAGTTATGCCATAAATTCCATTTTTAAGAAATGTATTATGTTCAGTTTTTGGTGACATTATCACATATTCATTGTTGAAGTCATAGTTAGAGGTGGACTATACTATAATAAGAAGTGTTCGTAATTGTTTGTCCTTCTCATTTTCGTACACGAAGGAGGCAGAACATTAGAAACACTTCTGAATATAATGCAGTCCAATACAACACCATCACTAGCTATGACTTCAATACTAAAACATGTAATTGGATCAATACCTCCATGACCTGAACATTACAGGCATCATAAAAGTAGACTTTACAGCAGAACAGTTGTACTGGATTGTATTAGATCACACAGGTGTACCTAATAAAGTGGTCACTAAGTGTATATCCTTACCTGACAAAATGAGCCACCTCACTTTAAACAACTTTTGCTCTACTTTAACTCAACCTGCTACAACAGCTGAAATTGTCTTTTTTGTTTTAACTCGGTGCAGATGTCAGTGCTGTAAATGCAGTGCTGAGGATATGTGCTATACATAAGATCTAAACATACTTTTACCCCCGAAAACCCTTTCCTTTTGAAAAAAAATGGTGTGCACAGCATATTCATATTCAACAAAGACACACTTGAGATAGATGACTGTGTATCAGACCTAATTTTGTATCTAGAAATTGACAGAGCTCATTCTCAGTTCATCAGGTCTTCATTTGGTTAAACTACTAAAAAATACGAAAAGTCAAATAAGAGGTTTCATGTTGGCAGCATATGAATCAAAATAATGAGATGCTCATGTTGCCCAAAGGGTAGTGACACATTTTGAGGTATATGTATCGGCTCCACCAGGTGGAGCCAGAGTTTACATCTGCCACTAAATTTATTAGTATACTTCCCCCATTTAGTGCTGATGATTCTCAAAGTCAGCCTTAACCTTGGGCCTGAGCAAACATCATGGAAAATGGATTCAGCTGCAGCTAATCACCTGTGAGCACAACAGTCAATGAAATCCTCTTTTGAAAGGAAGGACTGTTTCTTCTTGTGTCTGGTTACATTGCTGAACTTGGTAGTGAACACAAAGATAACACACAGTCGCTGCAACTGCGTAAATGTTGGAGGATTTTAAAGAAATGACTACAAAACAAAGCTGTTATTGATTATGGAGCAGTAAGAGCTAGCACACCTGCCAGAGCCAAGTCCAAGAAAGAAAACAGGGAGAATATTAGCTGGGTGTCATGTCTGATTCCAAGACTACACCTTGGAGACTCACACAGTACCCAGATATCAAAATAATGTACAAACCTTTCCTATATTAAACCTACTGAAGAAATACAGCCTAGGGGGATAAACACGGTCATTAAATGCACAATAACGGCCTCCTCTTGTCATCATCTATTATTTATGTCACAACAAAATGTCATGGTAGGCTTTCGGGCAGCTGAACAATCTGTCTGTGTGGTGAGACCTCTAAGAAGTCAGGTTCAGCTTTATCATACAATACAATACAGGATTTCACAGTGTAATATAGTATATATTTTTCTGTATCACTGTTTTCAGGGTAGCACTGTTTGGGCGTTTCCGTTCCTGGCTCAGCGAAGTGTTAGGGGTTGAACTGGAGCCCACAGTGGATATTTCTTGTGCCAGATATGAATACACAGGTGAGCTTGGTACTAAAACACCAGCAGGAAGGACTGATACACTTTTAGGCTCTTATGATTGTTTCTTTTGATGACTAATCTGTTCTGACTTTTTCCTTTTTTAAACATATCATGCTCTGTCGTCTGTCTAGATATTCTTTTGTGTCACGATGATGAATTGGAGGGAAGACGTGTGGCTTTCATTCTGTATCTTGTGCCTCCGTGGCAGAGCAGCGACGGGGGAACCCTCGATCTATACACAACAGATGGTGATTATCCCACTTGGTGTGTGTGTGTGTGTGTGTGTGTGTGTGTGTGTGTGTGTGTGTGTGTGTGTGTGTGTGTGTGTGCGCGCGTGTGTGTGCGCGCGTGTGTGTGTGTGTGTGCGCGTGTGCGTGCGTGCATTTCTATGCTTTTAGACAACAGAAGTCTTGTATGTTTTTCACCTTTGTCATCAGGTAATTTCCAGCCACAGAGTATAGTGAAGTCGCTCGTCCCCTCTTGGAACACACTTGTCCTCTTTGAAGTGTCTCCAGTGTCCTTTCACCAAGTAAGAACCCTCTGGCCTTTTTTGTATTGTCCTATTATGTGATTTTAGCAAAACCTGGCTGGACAATCCCAATCCCATTGTTAGTTATTTTTAATTGGTTAATCTATCCATCCATCTATCCATCCATCCATCCATCCATTCATTTTCTGCTGCTTATCTGGGTCCAGGTTATGTTTAATGATTTATTAATTATATTATTAGAAATGATTGTTATATACTGCCAGGAAGTGGTGACAAAAAATGTGAGAAATATGTAAAGAAATTGACATTTATTTCACATTGCACTTAGCAAATAATTCCAGGCCCTACCATAAACGTCTTAACTCCTGTTGCAACCGTGTAAATTGCTGTTACACCAAAGAAGAAACTGCGATTTGAAATCTTAAGCGTGTGTTGTGGTTTTCCAGGTGTCAGAAGTTTTGTCACAGGATAAGTGTCGTCTGTCTCTGAGTGGCTGGTTTCATGGACCGCCTCTGGAGCGTCCTCCTCGCCACATAGAGCCTCCCGTCCCAAGGAGTCCACACTTACCAAGAGATGTGAGTTGGGTGTCATTTTACCATCTCCATAGGAATAGTTCCATATTTTTTTTATAGCAGTCTGTTAGCTTAGCTTAGCATAAAGCCTGAAAACTGGAGGAAATGACTTGCCTTGCCCTGTTTAAAGGTAACAAAATCCTCCTACCAGCAACTTGACAGCTAGATGACATGTTATAGTTTGTTTTGTCAAACAAAAACTGATGTACATAAAAACAACATATAGCAGTAATAGACAGCCTACATTGCTGTTTATGAGTTTGTTGTGTTTATGTGTTGATGACAGGAGACGCTGCTACTGGAGTGGGTCAATCCAGTGTATCTGGACATTTCCTATCAAGAGCAGATTCAGGAGGAGTTTGAGGACAGCTCTGAAATACAGCTCAAAGACTTTCTCAAAGTAACGTCTTACTTGTTTTCTCTGCCTCGCCTGTGTCCATGAGTTCTTGTGGACTGATTATGTGTTTGTCTTCAGGAGGAGAAGTTCAGGGAGCTGGGTGAGGCACTGCGACATGCTCAGATTCAGTGGACGAGGAGAGGTCCGCCCAATAAGAGGTGCGTCATGCTTCACAGATCATTTGACATGGTTCTGTGTTGGAGAGCATATTTTTAAGATTTATCTTTGTGCACGCAGATGCTATGAAGTGGCTTCTCTGGACACCCTGCCCCAGTGTGTGAGCACATGCTGGGAGCTGCTTCGTTCAGAGGCTTTCTTCCTGCTCCTCTCCAACTTCACTGGCCTTCGATTGCACTACCTGTGTCCTACTGATGACGATGACGAGAGAGAGCAGAAGGAGCAAGAGGACGTGCGGGATGGAGAAGCCACGGGATCTTCGACCGAATCCCCATCAGCAAATGCAAGCAGAGCGAAAGGTGTGTGTGTCACTGTGAGTTGGTTTCTTCAGCCACAGGTTGATACAGCCGTGTTTGTGTGTTTTGACCTGTGTGTATTCTTCAGAGCTGAGCACACCTGTATGTTGTGGTGAAGTGCGTCGATGGTCTCATGGCGGCTACACTCTGCTGCATGATGGGGAGGCAGCACGGGCAGAGTACGCTCTGGATCTTGTTTTACCCTTTGGCTGTGCAGGTGAATACACACACACACACACACACACACGCACACACACACACAACCACAAGAAAAAATGATCAATGTTATAAAACTTTGTGTTTCATAGACTGGCAGTCAGAGTTTGGGGGCTTCACATGTTATGTTGCTAATGAAGAGGACGAGGAGGTGAGTGCTGGTCAAAGTATGAAGTGCAGTTGTACATGTGTGGGCAACACTTCTCATCATTTGCCCTGTTCTCATCCTCTTCACAGCTTCTGACAGTTTATCCAGAGGACAACTCCCTCGCCCTCGTCTACAGAGACAAAGAAACCCTCAAATTTGTCAAACATGTCAACCAAAAAAGCTCCTCTGATTCTGCAGGCACTTCAACCTGCAGAGCATTTTATGACTTTTCTTTTGTGTATTATGAATAAATATACATATCTATCGTGTGGGTTTCTTTACATCTTTATTTCATCTTCATTATGTGATATGTACATTTTAAAACACCAGTTACTCTTGGACAAATTATTATATTATTATTATATTTAATTGATATTGCCCAGGTAAACCCATTTGCAAATTGACAGTCAGCTTAGGTTTTTCAGTAAAACTAGACAGCTCCCCTTTCGTGCAAATTGCAAAATTTAAGATCTTGGTTTAACTGTCATTGTTATTGCAGTTGACACAAGTGTGTGAGAAGTGCCAGTGGATGGGATGAGACAGACTTCTCCATCCATTTCACTAAATCGAGAAGTGAAACGGTCTGGTTCCTGCTGTAAATAAAATTAAAAGATTAAGAATTAGAATTTTTCTGCTTTTAACACGGTAAACATGTTTATCCTAGTCAGTGGATGTGAAGAATCATTTTTTCCGAACACATTTTAAGGTAAATTCTATCACATGGCAATATGTTTTTAAGAATCCTTTTGTTATCAATTTATCCAGCAAATATGTATTCCCTCTTCCAACATGTACCTGAATCTAACATGTAACATGAATCTGGCAAAACCTCTTCCATGGCAATTTATTTATTTGTTATTCTGTAATGTTTGCCAAGAAAATGATGTCAGGTATGTCTCCATAAAGAATGCATGCTGAAATGCCACTACTAAGGTTGTAACTAATTATTGTTTTTATTATGGATTAATCATTTACTCAATTATTTGTTAGAAAAATTCAAATTGCTTGTTTTGTCTGACCAACAGTCCATACTCAAAGATATTAAATTTATAATGATATAAAACAGAGAAAAAAAACAAAAAATCCTCACATTTGACAAACTGAAATTCAGTTATCAAAATAGTTGGTGAGAAAATTTCTGTCAATCGACTAATTGATTAATTGACCACTCATTACAGTACCACTGACTTTTAAAAGTTCCTCTTGTAATTCATTGTTGTCACTTAATTGGTCTGTCAAAGCCATATCTTCTGTCCCAAGGCTGGATTACAAGCACCAGGTTTACTCTATTATTTGGGTCTACATCATTTGATTAATTACAAATTTGTTAAAATTCTTCCACAGGGCCCCTCAGGAGGTGAATGTGGCCATGTAATGACCTCCTTTGCATTTTTAGGGTTTTTCAGCAGTTAATCAGTTAACATGAGTGGAAACAGTTTATATAACCACAGAAACATGGGGCCTGTACGTCTTACACAGGGAAGTAGAGAAAATACAGCTTTTAAACTAAATCAATCACAGTTTTTTTCACTAGACCAAGCAGCCTGTCGCCTTAAATCGCTTCACTGATCCGTTTTACCACTTCAATAATAATGTTTCAGACGTTGGTAATCACAACAGTTCAAAGATATGTAATTGAAATGCTTTGGCCTACATATGAATGTCTACAGTAAAAAAAAAAAAAAAAAAACGTAAAGAAAAAAACATTTCCTTCCTGTCATGATTTTTTCCCCGGGCGGCATGTTGTTTATTTCCACCAATCAGAGCGCGTTTTTATTTCTGCTCAGCCAATGGGTGGCCAGGAAGTTCTCAATGTGTCAGTGGGTGTGATCTCTCAGGAAGAAGCGTAAGCGAACAATATAACAAAGTTTTAAGGTAAGTTTGTACCGACTTTAACTAAGATTTCCTTCGCACTCAATCAAAACAACAACATGTCTGCCTGCTCCGGTGTCTTAGAGCTGTTCAATAAACACTTCAACCGTTTGTTTGGCCGATGTTTTACGGCAGTTGAGTCTGCTGAACGTGAGGTTTACCCACACGAACCGTACTCTCTCTCCAAAACACACCAAAATCCCTTCATGTTTTCATCTTTCTAACATAACTCTTTGAAATGTGAGAGTTATCAAGTAGACAGGCTGCTGTCTCCGGTTGGCCGAATCAAACTACAATACAGGTATAAAATTCTTGAAACAAAAAAATCACACCTGGTGCAGGTAACTAGCTAACTTCACGTGTTATAGCCATAAATCACGTGTACGCCTGGCCGGATTAACACCCTGAAATGTGTTATTGGGCTCCTATTTACTCCCACTGTACATGTCAGTTTTATTATTTACCCAGTAACCAACCAATGCTTTAGAGACGGAGAAAGAATAGTAGATTAATTGATTAGTCGATTAACAGAAAAGTAGTTGGCTGAAATTTTGATTTATTTATCTATTTAGTAATTTATTTGTCCATTGAATGTATCCTTTTCAGCATAAGTGGTTTGTAACACACTTTAATGCAGTTGTAAGTGTTGTAAGGCCGGTGTGTAAACAGATGATGACAATATTGTACTAATATTGTAGTAGTAATTGTAGTAGTAGTTGGAATTGTAGCACTACAAAGTAATTAATAATATTAGTCTGAATTGGAAAAGTAATACGCATTCACTCATACTTCACATTGATAAAAACTGATTAATGTCATTATTTTATATTATAACACATTATATCATGTTAGAAGCCATTTGTTAAATGTTTATATATTTCTCATGCTTAAAAGTGGACTTGAAGTAAAGTTTTACCTTCTAAAACTATGATACTTTAAAGGCTTGGTTCACTTTTTTAAAAAAAAGTTTTGTTTAAAACAATACACGTTCATGTATGTTGAAAGCATTAATATTCACTGTATGTTCCTCTTGTCCGCACTGGCTGTAAAGACATCTCCTCCTAATGTCTAACTGATGGAGGATAAAATCCACAGCCCTCATTCTTTGCAAAAATCCTTTCTAAACTTCAACTGTGAGGCTTAGACAAACTTAGTGAATATTTTCAAAGCTACTGCCTTGTTGTAGGAAGATCCCTCTGTGTTGCTCTGTGTCCTCTGCAGCTCAGCAAGAACACAAATCTTTGAACACGCAAAAGGAATAAAAAAAAAAAAAACGTTGGAAGATACTGACTTGAACACAGATTACTTGAAGCCTCATATTAGCTTCAGCTGATGTTTTGAATTCACTTTTATAAAGGCCATTTTGCTTTTGTGTTGACAATTTTTCTGTTGATTGATTAAGTGATCAATTATTTTAGTGCGGTACATTCTCCTGTGGTCATGATATAGGTTCCTTGTTGTGATTCATTGTTGTCACTTACCTTGTCTGTCGAATTGTGGTTTATAGAACAGACAGTTCCTGGTGAAATCACGCCAGTGCCTTAAGGAAAACATCTCTTTGTGGCCAGTATGGACAGGAGGAAAGATTACTCTGACTAGTAAATCTTTCTACGTATATTCAGTATATATACAGGTGGTCCCAAATGTCCAACTTTTGGTCCCATCTTTGTATATATTTTATATATTCAAATGTGAGAGCTCTACTTGTCTCTGATTATATATCATTATAAATTGTTGGTTGGACAAAATGAGCAATTTGAACATGTCAACTTTGACAACTGTCACAACTTTTTGACATTTTATGGATTACGTGCTTCATCACATTTTGAATCAGAAAAGAATTATTAGTGGTAGCCCTACAATTATTTATATTTGATTGTGTGTGAGTTCACTTCATATCAAGCCGTTATCTACATCGTTAGTTTAACTCTGGAGCTATCAAACACTAAAGACAATACAAAACAGGTGAAAACAAACAAGATCATCACAGTGAGGTGAAATGATTAATTTGTGGAAGCAAGTTCATGTGTGAATCAATTATTTTTTCACCTGAATGTCAGACGGACTGTCCAGGGAATACTAGAGGTTGTCTTTTGGCAGCAAAAGCTAAATGATATATTTTAAGCTCCTGATGATCACTTAATCCTCATACAGCTGGTGAATTAATCTCACAGTATACTTCCAGAGTACCGGTAGATAGGATAGCATATAATTACATACTGGCTAAGTTGTGGAGATTCCTGTAGACCCAGTAGCCAAACATACTGTGTATTAGTGAAATATGAGGACATGCATATAATCCAGCTGAGAGGATGCTCTTTCCACGCAGAGCGCTGTGCATCCTGTGCATGGAGACACCACCAAGAGAGACCTAGCAGGCTTCAGTGGTTCATCCAGAGCACAGGAGTTAGGGGCTGGACTGGGGGAGGGGAGGACTGAGATTAAACATGTTTTTATGTAATGAGGGTTTCAAAGGGAGGTTGGGGTAAAAAAGGATAAGGTGGAGTGAGGCCACAACAACCAGGGACCACTACGACAGAAGTGGTTTTAACTCCAGGAATAAACATATTTTTGGCTGTGTCTGGTCCAGGCAGTTGGATTTAGTGAGGAGGTTATATGATTTATTTTTCTCATCACTTGGTGAGAAGTCATTGGAAACTGTATCTTCTGCACCAGATGAAAGGACAGATATATTTAACAGCAGTTTATCACGTCTCAAGTTCAGGATCTGATGAAGAAGTCAGTGCTATGTGCCGTGTAACTGAGATGTTTTTGTCACCATTCGTTTTTAAAAAAAAAATATATTGGTGTGCTATTAATCTATTGATAATTTTTTGCGAGGTTGATTAATCTTTTAGTTTATATCATGCTATCACAATTTAACAGAGCCACAGGTGAGGTCTTTTCTTCCACAAACAGACCAAATTTTGTGATGTTTAATTTACAATGATAGAAAACAGAGAAAAGCAGAAAATCCTGAGGAACCAGCGAGTGTTTGGTGACTCAATCAATTATCATAATAGTTGACAATTGATTTACTGATTATCAAATAATCATCTAATACATTGTATGCCCCTTAGAAAGCGCTCTACCTGGGTCCCTCAGAAGTCCATTCTCAAATATTATCTAATCCAATCTTAATCTTTTGGCAGTGTTGATCTTTGGGGGTTTAAGTTTTTTAATCTTATAATCTGGTATGGTTATAGTATTATGTAATAATACTTATCAAAAAGCCTTCAACTTTGTTATAAAAGCAGTCACTTATGATAAACCCAGTTGTATTGATCAACCCACTTTACAGAGGAGAAATGGTGTAAGACTATACAGCAGTCATACAGACGGGGGAAATAAAAAAAAGACTTTGTCAGTCCCCTGAACAGTTCACT